AAAGGCTTTTCTACTTAATACTATCTACCTGAATTGCATCCACTTTTTGAATTTCTAGCCCTTATAGTAAAGAAAATGCTGCTGTTTACACTGTTTCTAATACAATGAGAATTAAAGTGTCTAAGCATTGTGTTAACCTCAGAAGTCAAAAGATGCATTGTGCACACCATCTACAAAGCAGATCCATGTTAGGAGGGTTCAACAATGCAGCAATGACTTTAATAGACAACATTGTTAATCTGAAACAAACTAGGTATTTACTCTGAATTTCAAACCAAGTTCAAAAATTAAGAGATCTCAGATTGCAGGGAGGGGGGGCCCCAGACAAAATCTCCAGGTACTGAATTGCTCTGGAGTGCATGCCATTCAACTATTCATCCTACTCCTTGTAGGAGGTATGTTATGTCTGATTTTTAATTATGCTTTATGTAAATATCCCCAGAGGCTTATGCAATAGGTACAAGCTTAAGTAAGGCAAGCTGGTGGAGGCAGCTCAGGAGAGGGAAGCAGAGAGCTGAGCTGACTCCATAGCCAAGGGCTGGGTGAGCTCCAGTTGTCACTGAAGGCCTCCAAAGCCCTGAATTACAGAATAGGACAGATTTGCTACATTTGTACATTCACTGCCAAAAGCCACTTACTGAACCAAGCTCCCAGATCCCCTGGTACTTCTGTCGGCACCGCCAGCTTCTGCTCCTTGATTTACAACAGCTCAGCAAACTGTCCCCGAGCACTAACACAGCCACATTTATCACCTGCCTCCACTCCTGCCTGCCACACTTTGCTGCTGGGAGGGTTTTTGATGAGGACCTGCACTGTCTGTGGCCATCAAAGACCCCATGGACATGCACTAATCAGCAGTGCCCTCTCAGCACACCTTCACCTTGACCTACAGCACTCACAGCCAGGGTGGAGGAGGAGGCTGTTTAATGCCTGTGCCTTTGGCACCACTGTAAGTGCCAGCAAAATTCACAAGGACTGGTAATAATACACTTAAAGTCACACCAAAAATCTCACTCTAAACAAATTGCAGGCTGTGTTCACACCCTGATCAAGCTTACAAGGCAACTAAGCAACTATTTGCACTGAGGTCAAAACCACCTCATTTCTCAGGCTGCAGCCAGCGGTGAAGTTTCTCTGAGCACTCAGGAGATCCACAGCAGGCAGCTTCACACAGGAGTAGCACAAACCTCCCGGCCTCATCCCTCCATGCCCAAAGACGTGCTTCAGCTTGCAATTGTTTCTATTTGCATGGGATAATTTTAACTGGTAATTCTAGAAAATATTCTTCACAGCTGCATTCAAATTTTACCTTGTGGACCTAATACAACTCATCTGTACAGGATCCACTTTAGTCCTTGGCTTCTCAACCAAGAGCCTGGTCACTGAGCTAGGAAACCAGAAAGCTTTGATTTTCCCCCATTTCTGTGAGCCAGGATAAATGGGGCACACCCTCTTCACCTGTAAAATGGGAACACTACTCTCCTCTGTAAAGTACTTGGAGAGCTAAGAAATGCAATTTATTTTCAAAAAGGTTAGGTTAAAATATATTCCTCTTTTCATTCTCTAGATAAATGCTTCATTATACTTCTTGTCCTGCACTTCCCTGATGATTTTCTTTTTTAACCAATTTACCATTTTGACCAGTCCAATTATTTTAGCATATTAAACTCAGACTAATACATGGATATAAAACCTAAATACCACTGCAGCCACAGAACAGAATCTACAGAATATTGTACCATAATTTTTATGGCTTCAAAAGTAGAGAGAAGAGAACAGATCAAGGCAACATGGCAAAAACTAATATTTTTTATTTTTGTTTCATTTTTAATTCTCCCTTTTTAGTTCTCACTAATTCCACCCACTGGTATACTCCCAAATCAGTGACTCATGGCACAAGACCACAGTCCAAACAGTGACTGACTGGCTTCTCAAAGCAGCACTGTTCAAGAATTGCACTGCTCCATCCCTGCACCTTAACTGCCTTTTCTTTGCTCAAAAAAGAAAACAAAACAAAGAGAGACACCCACCACTAACAACAGGTGCTTCCTTAGCTCTCAAAAAAAAAACCCAAAAAAACAAACCCAAAAAAACCTGAAGAAAAAAACAATTTCCCCCTTGGTGCTCCCAGCCATACAGCCCAGCCTAGGCACATTCTTCCAAGGTAATTCTCCACAACCAGAAACACAAGACAGGAGAACTCCCCAGGCAATTGCAGCTTTGAGATTAGCCCACCTCCTCTCTGTGTGTGCTGAAAATCTTCAAATATTTCAATTCCAATTAATTTCTTCTATTCTTTATTTTAAATAATGAACTTTTCCCCAGGTTTTTCAAACAAATCTTTAAACTTTAAGAGCTGTTTGGGAACCTTTATTTTTTTGACCTCGATGGCAACCTCCCAGACACATTATTTATAATAGGCTGTCTTTCTTAATACTTGCTATTAGTCAAAAGAGTGCTTAGTAAACATCCTAGCTATCCAATCTTTACATCCCTTAAATAATGGGGTGGGTTCAAAAGGGATAAGCTTTCAAAGTAGGACTCTGCTCACCTTGTAAAGAGCCACAAGCACCCTGATATAGCCCACTTCCCATCATTTTCCAGCTACTGCTTTGGATCTTCAAAGATACTTTAAAATGTGACATAAAAGACCTCCTAGAGAGCAGACACTCATTGATTATCTGTGTCCTACTCTATCTATGGTAGGTATTCCAGCTCCCCCAAACAGGTATGTCCTGGAACAACTAATTCCATATGGACTGAACATGGATATCCAGGACATCAACCACACAAGGAATGTTCACATACAAGTGCTCATCTGCCTGACCATTAGATTTTGAGTTTAGTTAAATGTCCTGCTGCCAGCACCACTTCCAATGTAGCTTAGGTGGTCATGAGCAAAATGCAAATATGGATCTGCACCAGTTTAATCGCTTTTTTTATTCAAATAAGACCTGGCTCAGGTTTCAGGAGGGCTGGACAAAAGATGGTCATCAATACAAGGCAAAAAATTTAGCCACAGGAGGATGAGTGCAGGCTTCCCTCCTTTAATCTCTCCAGAAGGAACAAGGACACATCCTAAGTACACTAGCTCGGCCTCCAAATTAAAAATTGTATGTATCACCTTGGCTATTTTCTTCCTCCTGCAGAAGCCCAAAGGAACTGTGAAAAGCCTGCAAGCAGTAAGTAGCCACTTTCTCCTGCTTCCCACTAAAACTCTCTAAGGGCTGTGATCCAGCTGGGATCCCATCTTTTGCTAAGAGACTACTAAGGAAAGAAGATTCACCCTTTGGTGTGGCAATGACAGATAAAAGCCCTCATTTACCTTCTCTCCCTAGGCTACATAAAGCAGCATTAAATGCCAGTTTACAGGTCCAACAACGCTCCATTTGGGTAGGGATAAGGCCCCCGATCCTCCTCCACACCCTCCCTTTAAACCTTTCCGTAGGTTTGGAAGATCAAAGGAAGACACCTCGACTACCCTCTTCCATTTTGTTGGGTAAGAAATATTTCTATTGCATAAATGCGTGTGCGTATAGCTATATCTACAGAAATCTATGCGTGTCTGGGAACCCCGAGCTCTGGGCAGCAATAGTGGGGCTGCCGGCTTCACTTTGTTCTCCGTCGGGTGCAGGATCTCGCCTCCCGCTCCGAACCTGCTGCCAGCTGGAAGCGGCTCCGTGAGGTCAGGACACAGCCTCACCCCGCTCCGCTCCGCGGCGCGCAGAGGGCCCGGCCGCCCCCGGCCGTTCCGCGGGGCCGCCGGGAGGCGCGGCGGGGCGAGACCCCCGCGCTCGCTGCCTCCGCCCCGGCCGCGGGCCGCGCTGCCGTGCGGGGCCGCCGGGACCCGCCCATGGCGGCGGGAGGCCCGGGACAAGCGGGTGCGGTGCGGCCGGCGCGGCGAGCGGGAGGGCGGGCGGGCCCCGGCCGGGCCTGTCAGGAAGCGGCGGAGGGGAAGGAGGGCGGGCCGGGATCGCTCACCTCGGACACCTCGTCCTCGTCGCTGCCGGAGCCGCCGCCGCCCCCGCTCCGCAGCACGGCGGCCGCCAGCTTGAAGTCGAGGGCGGCCTCAGCGGCCGCGGGCGCGCCGGGCCCTCCCGGCCCGCCGGGCCCGGCCTCCCCGAAGAGGCGCACGGCCCGCAGGCCCAGCGGGGAGGGCCCGGCCGCGGCGGGCGGCTCGGCAGCGGCGGGCGGCGCGCGGGGCGCGACCGAGTCGATCTCCTCGTCGGCGGCAGCGGCGGCGGTGCCGTCCGTGAGCATCGCGCTGGTCCGGGCCCGGCCGTCTCCGTCCCCTCACGGCACCGCGGCAGCGCCACTAACTTCTCACACCCTACCCGGCCGCGGCCGCCGCGCCGCCCCCCCGCCGCTCCGCGCACGCCTATTGGGCGCGCTCGGCCGAGGGAGGCGCGCTATTGGCCGCGGCGCCCGCCACTCAAGGGTGCGTCACGCTCTCCCAGCATGCTGCCCTGAGAGCGCACGCCGAGGCGGTAAGAGCGCGCCGCCCCGCCCCGCTCGCCCGGCCTCGCTTCCTGAACTTTCCGTGCTATGATTGGTTGCCCGGGACATCAATCATGTGCCTTGGCGGAGCTGCGGGCGCCGATGGGGTGAGCGAGCTGTCGATCAAAACACATCCAGGAATCACGGTTTTGATTGGTCGAAAGGTACGTCGCTCACAACGCACGGCGTCTGGCGCCCTCCGATTGGCTCCTGCAAGCCTTGGGCCCGCCTCCCCTTCGAACCCTCTGAAGGACTCCGTCAGCGCGAGACACCGTCACACGCCCGCCTGTCCCGAGCGGTGATTGGGTCGTGGAGATGTCAATCAAAGATAAGGGCACGCCTCCCCCATGGCCCCGCCCCTCCCGGGGGCGGGCCGCCATAGGCTGGGCGCCCTGGCTCTCCGCTGCCGCGGCCACGCCCAGTGTGACGTCACCGCGCGGCCACGTGGCCCGGGGTTCGGGGCCCCGGGGGTCTCGGCCCGGCCCCGGCCCCGGTGCCAGCCCCTAGTTCACGGAGAGGTTGATCTGCGGTCCCGGGCGCTGCATCGGCTCGCACTGTGGGGGAACAGAGGTTACGGGGCCGGCCCCGCGCCCACCCCGGGCCAGCGGTTCGGCTCCGGGGCGGCTGCGGCTGAGCGAGGCTCCCGGGACGGCACCGACCTCCTCGGCTCTGCTCCCCCGCTCCGGCCGCTCCCGGCGCTGTGTCCCCGCCGCCCCCGGCCCGGGCAGGGGCCCGTCCAGCCAGCCCAGGTCGTGCCGGGAGAAGATGCGCTCCAGCCCCTTCCGGATCGCCACCAGCGCCAGCAGCTGCGGCCGGGCCGGGCACGGGTCAGCGCCGCTGGGGCCGGGGCACCGGCAGCGTCTCTTTGTCACATACCTCTGTCACCCCCGGAGGTGCCAGCGTGCTGGCCTGTCACCCCTCCCGCCCTAGGGGACCATACTTGCCCAACAGTGTCACAGCCTCTGGTGACAGCCCCACGGCCCCAGACCAGCGCTGAAGGCTGGTGGCAAAGCACCCCATGCACCACCCGCTCACGTCCCCTCCCCAAGGATCGTGCCGGCCCTGGTGATGCTCGGGGCCGGGGTGGGCAGCACCCAGCCCGGCACCAAAGCAGTGCCGCCGATTCGAGGGGTGTCATACCATCACTGGGAAAATAATAGCGGCCACGGTGGACTTGAGAAGCCAGAGCAGGGCCAGGCAGAGCAGCTGGATGATGGTGAAGAGGTGCACCCGGCGCAGGGGCACGTGGCGCAGGTAGGCAAGGTCTGGCTGGTGCTTGGCTGGCATCAGGAGCAGCCGCACACGGTCCATGAGCTGCAGTGAGAGGGTGGCAGGTGGGTCACACCTGTCCAGCTACTGGGCAGCTCTCACCCCCGTTCCTGCTGAGGTTAGGGCCGGCAGGATGGGTTTTCACCATCATTTCTGCACTTCAGCCCTCCTGTTCTCTGTGCTGACCCCCAGCTGATGCCTGGGCTAGGGAGGTTGTCTGCAGGACAGGGGAGCGCTTTCCAGGCAGACTTCTTGAAAGGACTCCAGCTGCCCTTAAGGATTAATTGAGAGATGACACCCCTTGATCCCCCGAGCTTCACAGGAAACTGCTGCAGCCTCCTCCAGAGCACAGCTCTGGGTTTCCCGAGCAGAGGGAGGGTGGGAGTTTCCCAGCCTGTCATCTAGAGCAGGGTAATTGCAAGGAAACTGTACTATTTTGAGGAAAAAGTGGTGTAGAGAATTCTGGAATAGGATTTTTTTTTCCTCTCCATTGGTTTCTCAGGAGAAGGAGAGAACTGGCACATGAGCATCAAGACCAGAAACAAAGGATTCTCATGTCCCAGCTTTGCCTGCAGCTCCCAGGTGAGGAAGTCCCTGTGGCTTTGAGGGCAAGTCTGTGTTATCCACTGGTCCCACTTCTCCCACACCACCTGATCCAGCAGTGCACAAGTCTCTCCTGTTCCTCAGTGTCTCAGAGCCCTCCTTCTCCCTTTCCTTTGCCCTAGAAAGGGCCTCTCTGCTCCTTGTCCTGGGCCTGGTGGGAGACAGCTCTATGCCAGGCTGTACACCACAGAGAGCTAAACTCCAGCTTGTGCTGTGCAGTTGCTGAGCAAAGCCCCTCCTGCCCACCAGCACTCCCTCCCGTGCAGTCCTCCCTCCTCACCTGGATGCTGTTCAGCGCTGTCACCCCCATGTGCAGGAACACCCCATAGAGCACCGGCATCGGGATGTGCTGCAAGGCAGTGGGGTGGGGCATCAGCAGGGCTGGTCCCTGGGGGTCCGTGCCTGCTTGGTGCCCTCTCATGTAAAAGCCTGCATGTGTGTCCACAGCCTGTGCCTCCTTCATTCCCAGCAGCCCAGCCTGGCCTTGTACTGCTTGAGGTTCACATGAGCCCACGTCCTCCATGGTGCCTTTGGATGGCAGCTGATCCCCCAGGTGTGTCACTGCACCTCAGCTCGGTGCCTTCTGCAAAGGTGCTCCATCCTGCTGTGTCTTTGATAGTATTTGTCCAGTAGGGGCACTTGGAAGACACCACTTGTTACTTGTTTCCATTTGGACATTGGGCTACTGACTGTAAATCTCTGGACATGACCACCCAGCCAATTCCAGATCCATCTAACAGTTCTTCCATCAAATCCAGGTGGGAGTGAGGGTGCTGGGAGGGCCCCATATCAAAGGCTATAAGAGACCAGCCTCAGAGGTGAGGAAAGAAGTGGAGGAAAAGAGACCTCCTGTCTGCCCACAGGTAATTCAGGGCCACTGGAGGGTTTTTTTCCTAGCATGGCAGTGGCAGCAGGTGAAAGCCAGCAGCAGCCAGGTCATCCATGTATCAGTATGGAGAGGTAGTGCTGGGGTGTGTCTGGGGAGCATAGGGACCATGGGGAGGATGGGCAGGTGACATGGGGCCACAGTGTGGCAGCCCTCCAGTGGCACTGGACACAAACCCTTGGTGCAGTCCATACCCACACAGGGCACAGCTCCCTGCCTGCCAGACAGGCTTCCTGTGCTGCTTTGGTGGGTCAAGGTGGGGAACCTCCAGCCTTGCAGGGTACAGCCAAGCCCTGCCTAGGAAAAGAGGCCACCCCAGCCATTCTTCCTACCTTGAGCACGGGGGCCATGAAGACAGAGACTCCCATCAGGATGAAGACAGCCAGGCCTGTCAGCCTCTGCTCCCTGTGGGTGGCAGCACAGATGTCACAGGTGCCTGGGTCCCCTTGGGAGCCCACCCCCCTACCTGTCCTCCTGACCCCAGGATCTCTGCTCTTTGCAGTTTTGATGGCCACAGGGAAAGGGATCAGCTCAGGATTGTTGTTTACCTGATGCCCAAGAACTCGGGGTGCTCGCCGGGGGCTGAGGTTGCACTCTCCTTCCTCAGGCTCTCCATGTGTGCCAGGGAGATAACAGTGGCTGAGACATACCAGGGGAGGCCAGTGACAGAGGTGACAACCATCAGGAGGGAGACACAGAGGAGGTCCAGGTGGAAGCCTGCTCCTTTCTGCAGCGGAAAAGGCAGCAGGGCTGAGGGCATCTTCCCACTTTCCTGGCCAGTTTGGAGTTCTGCTCTCTCCTGGCTGCTTCCCTGGGCCCAGTCAGGAGCTGGATTCTCCCCCATTGTCTGGTGTTGCCTTTTCCCTGTCCCCCTGCTCACCTGCAGCTTGTACTCGCTGCGGTTAAGAATGACAGCTGTGATCTGCTGGTCCATGAAAATGAGGATGGTGACAAGGACAGCAGGCACCGCGGACAGCAGGCAGACCCACCATGGGTTGGCTCCAAAGGGGAAAATAATCCAACCCCGTGCTGGGTTTGTGGGCTGTGGAGAGCAGAAGGGTCTGGCAGCTGCCACCCACTTGTGGGGTGTGCAGTGCAGTCAGGTAATGGGACCAGCCCCAGGTGCCCAGGGATGTCCCACCTCAGGGGTGAAAGAGCATCCTCACTCATCCTGGGCATGCTGCTGACCCACCAGCCCCCACAAGGACAACCAGGGTGGTGTTCTTGGACACCACAAGCCAGGAGCTGGGCATGTGCCTGTGACAGCAGGTGGAAGAGGTGGCATTGGACAGTGGTGATGGTGAGCCCAAGGAGGTGGTGGGTGAGCACTGGCTGCTCTGGCGCGCTGCTGGCCCTGCTTCACACCCAGGGTGATGGTGAGCCCAAGGAGGTGGTGGGGAGCACTGGCTGCTCTGGGGCGCTGCTGGCCCCACTTCACACCCAGGGTGAGTAGCCCAAGCCCGGAGCTGAGCTTTTGGCTCTTGCTCCAGCGTGATCTGTACAGTCCAGGTCTGAGCCAGGTTATTTACAGTGCATGGGATCAGCTGTGTTCAACCCTTTCCTGTTTGCTTGGGTGCAGCCTGCACCCTTGTAAGGCTGGAGCCAGTGATGAGAAGGACAATGACAGCACAGTGGGATGGCTACTGTGGTGGGCACAGACCCACACCCTGACAGTGCTGTGCCCACCCTGCTGGCACCTTCAGCTCGCTGGGGACAAGGAGCTTGGGGGTCTCCAGGCCCAGGACAGCATCGACAACGCAGGAGGCGAGGATGGCCAGGATGACAGCGAAGTCGCTCACCAGCTTCCGCACCTGCAGATGGAGATGGCTTGGCCCAGGCTGGCAGGGGTGGGGGCTGCTCCAGGAGTAGCCTTGAGGTGTAGCACCCAGAGCCATCCCCACACCAGTGGGACAGGTGGCCATGTCACTGGGGTGGCTGAAAAATGCTCACCCCCACAGGGAAGTAGCGGCTGCTCCTGAAGCGCTTGAGTGCGATGCAGAGGAGGAAGGTGCCCCCGAAGAGCAGAAAGGACATGAGGGTGACATCAGGCACATACTGACAGCTGGTCCCCAGGAGATGTCCACCTCGATCCAGGCACTGGGTCCTGCTCAGCCCTGCTGGGGTGGCAGGAGGCTGCAGGGACAAGGTGGGTGGTGAGGAGGGGTCACACATGGACACCTTGAGCTCACCCTAGGGCCTCACCTGCCTGCCTGGGAGCAGGGGCTGTACCTGCCAGGTTGTCAGGGGTGAGGGCAGCGATGTGTCATTCCCTGTCGAGCTGTGAGCTGCAAAGTGACAGGGAGCAGATTGGTACTGGTTTCATCAGGATGACTGGGATGATGCTGCCATCAGGCTGGGTCATCAAGCTCTTCCTGAGGGCTCAGGGTGCTGGATGGGCCCAATGTGACCTCTGAGACCCTGGTGCTGGTTGATGCCCAGGGAGCACCAAGGGTCAGATGTCCCTGTCCAGGGCTTGGCTAAAGCACTGGATGCTCAGAGGGACCATTGATCCCAGGCTGGCCAGCACTGATGTTTTTTGCACATGGCGTAGGTCCCATTTCCAGGGTCAGTGTGAGTGATATAACTTCCAGGGTCATGTCTTCAAACCCCAGAAAACAGCCCCTGATTTACAGACTGGGCTAGAAATGGCAGAGCAAACCCATCCATGTGCCCGTTTCCAGCCTCTGACATCCCCCATCCTGGAGGCATAGGAGATAGGCCAAGGCTGTCCTTGTACTGCCCTGTACTGCCCTGCCTGGTTCCTGGGCAGTTCTGGGAGGCAGGAATAGATGGTCAGACTGTATGGAGGGAAAAGGAGGACACTGCAATGTGGTCAGGCAGGTGAGGATGAGATTAAACAGTCTTCTCCTCCAGTGCCTTCCCCCATCCAGCCAGGAAACAGGTTTCCAGTGGCATCCTGGGGCAACAGCTTCCTGCTCCCTACCCACCCACGGCTGCTTGGGCTCACCGGGGCTGGACAAGTTGCAGGTGCAGCTGTAGGAGGTGACGTTGTCCAGCCGGTACTGCCAGTTGATAGGGAAGGCATCTGCCAGGCTCAGCATCTTCTTCAGGGAGTCGTAGATGAATATCAGGCTGATGAGTGCGCAGAAGCCTTCCTCGGTGAAGCGGGTGAAGTACCGCACCAGGTGACTGGCCTCGGTGGCCACCAGCACCACGCCAAAAAAGCCCACCCAGAGCCCAATCCAGAGGCGGAACTCCAGGTAGTCCAGGCTGTGATCCCTGGGGGAAAGGGTGACTCAAAGCCTCTCCAGTGACACGTGCCTGGAGTGATGGTGGCCCAAGTTCCAGCCGAGGGACAGTGGGCTGAGGATCTGTCCCTGGCACTGTACTCACTGGCTGAAGGAGAAGAGGAGGCGCTCAAACACAAGCACGGGGCCGGTGCTGCTCAGGATGGTCAGGGGTTGGCCCGAAAAGAGGCAGAAGAAGAAGCCAGCAAAAGCTGTGCCCAGGAAACTCTCCAGCACGCCCTGAAATGCAGGGAAGGAGTCCAGGTGCCAGGCACATGGTAAGGAGGAGGGTTGTGGGCCTGTCCCCCCAGCAGCACGGAAGAAGAGAGGGTCAGTGGCGGGGACCACTGGGGAAGGAGGCAGAATTCAGGGAATGCTCAGGATGTTCTGGGGATGCTGGTAGGAGGTGGGCACACAGGGGCCCTCTGGACTGGGCTGAGTAGGGTTGGTACCAGGTGCCCCACGGCCACACTGACCTGCATGTTGGCAGTTGCGTCCCCCAGCATGCCCCCGAAGGTGATGGCATTGGTGACTGTCGCCAGGTAGATGTAGAGCACTGCTGACAGGCACTGAGGGTGCAGGGCGTCGGAGAAGTCGCTGCCATACCATGGTGCCTTCCTCTGGATGTCTCGCAGCAGCCCCCCAAAAAGCCTGGGGTGAGGGAGGGAGGTCTCAGGTCAGACCCCACAGCAAGGATTGTCCCTTCCCCTGGATACAGGAACTCTGAGGGGCTTGGACATGGTGGCCCCATGAGAAACCAGTGACCTGTCCCAAATCCAGCACCCTGCTGCACCTCCCACTGCCCTCCCAGACACTGACCTGCCTGTTCTCTCCAGCTCGTCCCCAGAGCATGGGTGCCCTGGGCTGGCTCTGTCCCCAGCTGCTGTCATGTCCCCATTACCATGTGGCTGCTGGTCCAGTGGGTCCACAGTGGCCCTGTGGCAGAGCAGACCCTGAGACAACAGGCTGCAGGTTGGGACCTGCATTCAGGGGACACTGGGACAGGAAAGGGAGAATGGGAGAGGACAGAGGTGCAAACAGGGCTTGTGCATCCCCTGATAATGGAGAGGAGATCAGGAAGAGGAGACATGGCAGATGATGATCTTCTAAGGTTTCTTCCAACTCAGCCATGATTTCCTCTGGCAAGCTCTGGAGCCAGGCCTTGCAGGACTGGTTTTAGTGGAGGAGCTGGGCAGAGCCTAGGGTGTCCTGCTCAGAGGTTGAGTTTCACGTGTAAGTGCTGCATCCCAGTGTTCCCCTTTGGAGGAGACTTGTCATCCACTGCCAAGTGGGACAGCAGGACTAACAGCAGAGGGGACCAAAGCAGGGACCTGTGGAGGGGCCTGGTTGGGAGGACACCCTGGCCCCTGGACAGCTTCATCTCCATGGAGATGGAAGTTCCAGTGTCACAGACAGAGATATCCCTGCAGGACCCTGCAGAGGGGCTGGCAGGGGTTGGGGTGCCCTCCCTCCAGCCCACCTTCTGCGTGGACATGGCAGATGGCTTGGCGGAGGAATTCGGGCACTAGGGTCCCATTTCCCAGGAGGAAGCACAATCAGCTCATCCAGGAACGCCTCTATCCCTGCCACGAGGTCCTCTCGGTGCTCAGCCTGCCGGGCAACTCTTTGGAAGAGCTGTGGAGAGATGCTGTGGTTTAATCACCATTTCTCTGCATTCATCCACTCGGAACCTTCCTCCCAGCCTGCAGCCATCACCAGGAAGCAAACCCACCCACTTCAGGACAACAGGTGCCCTGCATCCTGCAAACCCACCCAAGCTTTTCTTTTTTTATCCTGGGCAAGGGAGGCCACCAGCTTGCCCCATCCTCTGTCCTCCACTGCAGCCTGCAGAGGAGAGGAGTCCTGGTGTCCCCATTCCAGGCCCATCCCATCCCTGGGTGCTGTGCCAGGCTCACCTCATCTGTCAGCAGTGTGGCCATGGCCCTGCCAACCTCGTGGTAGGCTTTCACTCTGGGAGGGCCCAGCAGGATGAAGAGGAACCTGTGTCAAGACAGCAGATCTCCAGAGCAGCCCTCTCCCCTCCAGGGGATGCCTCTCTGGGAGGGACCATGGAGATATGGGGATGGGGCCTGGGCAGGCCTGGGGGGCTTCTGCCACCCTAAAAATTGGGTTGGGGGCAGAAGACAAAACACGTCTGCTGCCATTGCATGGCAACCTCACAGAGATCATGGGACACCAGGACTCTGCTGGATCACAGGGTCTGCAGAAATACAGACTGGGAGGTGTGGGGGAACAGGTCTTTGGGACAGAGGAAGAGAAATCCTCAGCTGGAGGTGTCTGTGGCATCATTTTCCTGGGAATTTTGCTCGCAGGCAGGATGTTGGTGTGTTAGGGAAGGAGAGCTTGCCAGCAGCACAGGCAGCAGGTTTGACAGGACTCTGGGGACATGGGAGGAGACTGGAAAGAGAGCTCAAAGCCCTTGATAAAATATGGTTAAAATCCCACAATTGAGAAGATGGTGCAAAATCTCCAGAGGGACAATCCTCCACTGCTTTCCAAAGCTGGCAGGAATGGTTACACTCCTGAAATCCTGAGCTAGTCAAACAGTTCCAGTGACTGCACCCTGAGCAAACCCGCAGAGAGGGGGTAGGGAAACTCCTCTGGCCATGTAAGTGGGACTTGAGAGAACCCCCAGATGCTGGAGGCCTCTGGAAGCTGCTCCAAAGGGACAAGAGGTGACAGCTGCCACGTGGGATTGCCTTCAGCCAGGTATCTGCACCAAGGTGATGGGAAAACCTTAAGACCCTAGAGATGGATCTGGATGAGAGACAACCCTGAGGCAGTGGCTGCACCTGTGGGACAGCCTGGCATGGCCAGCAGAGGGGATGGCACCCTGGCCAAAGGGATGCTAGGGGCAAGGTCTGCATCCCAGTTTGTGGGAGGAAAATGCAGGGCAAGGGGTTATCATGAAACCTTCGAGACCCTGGGGCATTCACGGGGACTCGCCACCCAACTCCTGCGGAGCAGAGAGCAGAGGTGGGTGGATGTCTGTCCTGCTGCTCCCGGCTCCTTGGGACGGCTGCTCTGGGCAGAGTGACCAGGAGGTGGCAATGTCCCTCCTGATCCCCTCCTGCTTCCTCCGCGCACTTCCTAAGGAAGTCCTCGCTGAAGGCACACTGCCCGTTTCCCCTCACTTTAGGGGATGCATTCCTCAGCCACGGAGAAACCATGGGGACCTCCTGCCCCCCTCCTCTCCCCCCACCCCATCTCATCACTCAGAACAGCGGGAGGACAAGAGTCTCCTAAAAACCTGCATCCCGCCGCCAGGCCAGCTCCCGGCAGTAGGTGGAGAGCATCCAGGACCAGCTAGGGACAGGGAATGCAGAGCCCAGTGGGAATGACCCAGGGGATGTCCCTTCCAGCCTGCCCAACTCCACACTCAGCCCATTCTGCTGTGCTGCTAAGAAACTGGGAAAAGCAGGAGGGAAGCAGTGAGCCAGGATTCTGGGACTGTATGTGGCACTGGGTGCCATTCCCTTTGCTCTGGACAAGCAAAGCCTTGGCTGGTGTGGGGGGGAGTGGGGAGACAGGGACGGGGGAGGGCACAGGGACATCAGCCATGCTCTGTTACCTGCTCGGAAGAGAAACCTCAGCCAGTGAGCCAAGGGACACCCCATGCCTGAGGCGAATGAAGGCAGTGAAGGGCTTTTCCAGGAATTCAACTTCCCCGACAGCAACGTGGGCTGCTTCAGCCCCTGGTGGGACCTTCTTCTTAAATCTGTTTCTCAGCTGAAAGGAAAGGGATGCAGCAGCTGGGTACTCAGGATGCCGTGGCTGAGCATTCAGAGTGCAGTAGCTGCTCCCAGCCCAGCTCCATGCTGCCATACCTGCTCCTTAAGAGGAGTTTTGGAGACCTGGGTCCTGGGTTCAGACCTGTCTTTGGCCTTCCCTGCAAAGAAAGAGAGGAAGCAGCAAAATCTAGGTGCAGGCGAATGGCCAGCATGGGCTGCCCCGGGCTGGAGGCAGCGGGACCATGCCTGGTGGGACAGCCAGGCTTCCTACCTCGGCAGGGAGAGAGCCCAAGCTCGGTGAGGAGCTGCAGCAGGGATTTTGTAGGCTGGTGCTGTGGCTGGAGGAGCAGAAGGGCTGCCAGGTGCTCCCTCAGTGCAGGCTGCAGCTCTGCTTCCTCGGGCTGCTCAGAAAGTGCTTTGTCTGTATCAGGGACAGGGGCAACTCTGAGGGCCCCTGGTTCACTGCCCATTGGGGAGTTGCCCAGGGGAAAACTCCCTTAGCTGGAGTAGCAGAGAGCCCCCCCAGGTACCCAGTTGGCATTCATCAGTGCTGTTCTATAGGCACCTCCTGGTGCCTGTCCCTCTCTGGGGACCAGCCCATCCCAGGAGATGACCTTTGCATTACTCATGTACCGATTATTTCCTTGAAACTGGTGGCATCCAGATCCAGGAGCATTGTCCCCTTCTGCAGGCATGTCCTCAGCTGGAACAGGCTGTGCAGGGGCAGAGCTGGGACATGGGGTGTGCTCCAGCGCTCCCCACCATCCTCCACCTTCTCCTCAAACTTGATCCACCTGCCCAGGGAGATGTGGGGGTCAGTGGCAGGGTAGGAGGCCCTGTGCCAGGCAGTGGGAGCTAGAGCCTGGGTCCATCTTTGAGCTTAGCATGGGGCTGGCACTGGCAGGGAGGGGTTTGGGTGGCTCAGAGGGGCCTGCACTTGGTTCATGGTGTAGGGGCAGCTGGGCAGACAAAATGGTCATGTCCCCATTCCTGCAGACCCACACCTCTCTAAGGTCTGATCAGGGGAATTCCAACCAAAATGAGGGGAAAGAATGGTTCAGGTTTGAAGGGACCTTAAAACTCACCTTATTCCAAGCCTTCCACCATGGGTGGGGTGCCTTCCACTATCCCAGTTTGCTTCAAGCCCCTTCCAGCCTGGCCTTGGACACTCACAGGGATGGGGCAGCCACAGTTTCTCTGGTCAATCTGTGCCTTGCCACCCTCACAAGGAAGAATTTCTTCCCAATATCCCATCTGACACTGATCTCTGGCAGTGGGAAGCCATTCCTGCTTGTCCTGTCACTCCAGTCCCTTGTCTCAAGTACCTCTCCAGCTCTCTTGCAGCCCCTTTAGGCACTGGAAGAGGCTCTTAGGCCCTGAGCCTTGTCTTCTCCAGGCTAAACAACACCCCACCTCCCTCATCCTGTCTCCATAGCAGAGCTGTCCCAACAGAGCTGTTCCAGCCTTTGAATCATTTCCATGGTTTCCTTTGGATGTGCTTCAACAGGAGCTGGATGTGGTGCCCCAGGGCAGTCCCACACAAAGCAGAACAGAGGGAGAAGCCCCTCCTCACCGTGTGGCCCGTGGTACAGCCCAGGACACACTCGCCTTTCTGGTCTGCCAGAGCACAGCGCTGGCTGATGTCCCCTCTGTCACCCAGCAGCACCCCCAGTCATTTTCTGCAGGGCTGCTCCCAGCCCATCCATTCCCCCAGCTGCGCTGGGGCTGGGGGTGGCCCTGCCATTAGCAACGCTTGCTTGGAGTCAGAACAGAAGTGTCTTGAGCTGTTTTCACGCTCGGGCCATGCCAAATATTTTAATGCCGGGCACAGACAGAGCTTCCCTTTGTCGCGGTGGGTGGGCGCTGGTCGTGCTGCACGGGCAGAGCGTGCCCGGCGCTGCGGGCTCCTGCGAGGGGCAGCCGTGCGGGCACAAGGGGCTGGCGGTGGGGAGGGCTCCCACAGACACTCTGACCCCGGGTGAACACCCACTGCTGTCCCCAGACTGCTGTGGCCCACGTCCCCTGCCCCTGCCGGATGGGTGCCAGGGGGCTCGGGGATAACCCAGCCCCAGCGCAGCCGCTGGAGCCTCGGAGAGGCACCAGAGAGGAGCAGGAGGAAGGGCGCTGTGCCTGCCTGACATCTTGCCCTCTCCCATGAAATGAAGTCAGCCCAGCTGGGCACTGGTGGGGCAGAGCCCTGTCTTGGGGCTGAGGCTGGGGAACAGCCAGCCTCGGGAAATGCCCTGGCCTCCCAAAGCGTGGCCCAGCCAGCCTGGCTCTCGCAGGTATCCCTACCTGGCCATCTCCCTCCACTCCAGCCCCGCCGGGGTGCTGAGGAGCTGGTTGAGCTGGATGAAGAGCAGCGGGCAGGTGACATCCCCCCTCTCCTCCCACTGCAGGGTGGCACCAGCTCTCCGAGCCGCTGTGGCCATGCTGGAGGGGAAGATGCTGCAGCCGAAAGTCTGGGAGGGAGCTCCAGGATTGCTGCTCTCTAGTCGGGGCTGTGAGCAGCTGTCTGCTGCCCGGAGAGCTGTGTCACCTGTCCCAGGCATGTGGACTCGCATGGCCACCGGCACCGGCAGCTACAGGCGTGGGCTCCCCTCCAGCACTCACAGGATCCCACTCATCCCACACCTTATAAGAGCTGTGAACAGGTTTAAACTGGCCACAAACCAATACACTGGAGCCAAGCCCAAAACAAGCATCCCAAAACAGCAGGGTCAGCCCCACAGGTCCCAGTATGGTTGTGTCCTGCCATGTCCAGCTGCCCACCTGGGCCAGGGACCAGGGAACCCACCTGCCTCCTGCAAGTGACCTGGGTGGACAGGGAACTTCGTGTGTTCCCAGCCCTGTCTGCAGCCTGCAAGGTGCTGGTGAGGGGGTGGCAGGGTCAACCCTGGAGAGCTGGTGGCAGTATCTGTGCCTGTGCAAGGATGCTGTGCCCATGGCAGGAGGAGTGACACAGCCCGTGGCAGCTCCTTCTGGGAAAAGAGAATATGGGGACATGCTCTGGGGAAGGACGTGGCACTGCTGGGCAAATCCACAGTGGGGAAATAAGGGGCTGCCAGTGGCAGGGCTGACGGAAAGGACTGGGAGGGCTCCGGGGCAGTGATGGTGTTCAGAAGGCTTCTGCAGGCAGTGAGTGGATGGAGGGGGAAGGACGTGGGCACAACAGCAGCACTCTGCAGGGACAGGGACAGGGACAGGGACATGACAGGGCCTGAACAGCACTGCCAGCAGAGAGCAGCCACGGTGCTCGCTGTGCCCATGCCATGCCCACCACCACCACCACCACGCTTGGCCCCTCGGCTCCCCGCAGACAAACCGCGGGGCTGTGTGCACTGCAAACACGGCGGGGACACCGCAAACACCCGTGGCTCCGGCACGGGCCGGCTGTGCTGGAGCCCGCTGGACCCGACAGGTTCCAGCCCCAGGAGCAGCTGGAGCAGGGCCAGGCACCACCACGGCAGAGTCACGTTTTGGGGAAGGGCGGCTGGGAGCGTGGGTTCCTGAGGTTCTGGTACCTGCCTCGCAGCAACTGAGGCCAAAGATCTGGCCCAGGGTGTCCAGGCTGTTTGCTCTGTGATACCAGTGGGTACCATGGGATGTGGACGTGTGCCCTTACCGTGGGGAGATCCTTGGCAGAAGGACCCATCAATAGGGAGCATCAGGGATGCCCTGAGGCACCCAAATCTTCCTGGGGTTCATTTCCCCCACCTGTGGGGGCTGCCTCAGCAGCATGAGGTGGGGCATGACTGGCAGCAGACACGGGCAGGGAGGCTGTGAGGGGCTGCAGGAAGTGGAAAGGGGTCATGGGAGGCTGTGGGAGGCAGAGGGGAAGAGGCAGCAGGAGGCAGAGGCAGGAAGCAGAGGCAGGCAGGATCAGCAGCCTGCACACATCCCCCCCACCCTGCCAGTCCTCTGTGCCAGCTGCCTCCCTGGCAGCTGACGTGAGCTGGTACCTCCCTCTCCAGAGGTGTCAGGGCAGCTGGCAAGTGCTGCCCACTTACACTGCCCGCACATACCCAGCCCAGCCTTGGGGACATGGTGGGGGACTGGCAGGGGCAAAAAAATTCCATCCCAACATGGGGACCTCCCCAGGAGCCAGTGTGCCGATCTGCCCAGGGACACAGCCCCTCACCCGTGCCACCAAAGGCTTTGGGCTCCTGATGGCCCGAGGAGGCGGAAGGAAAAACATCCAGCAAACAATTGCAAAAGTCAAGTCTGAGCAAGAAGGAGGGTGTGAGCGGGGGGGTGCCAGATCCGGTGGTATTCCTTGGAGACAGCAACAACAATAGCAGGAATATTTGCTCATGCCTAGCTGACCCCAAACCAGCTATGGGCTCAGGACCTCGAGGAACCAACCAGGGGCCTCTGTTGGACCCTGCACTCACCCGGTGTTGATGTCAGTGACATTTTCTACATTGTCACCTGTGCTGAGGATGCGGCCAAACACAGCACATGGTTGCCAGCATGGTGAAGAGCATGGGGAAGCTCTGGCAGTGTCCAAACACAGCAGGCTGGGACAGGGACAAGGACAGTGCCTGGCTGGGGGGGCCTGTGAGGTAAGGCTGTGACTCAATCACTTGGGCAGCACAGGGGTACAAATGGGGTCTTGGGAACAGAAAGGGTCTCTGCTGCCATCTCATATTGCCACCACCTCCCTGGTGAGACCTGCCGCTGGTGCAGTGGCACATGGGTGTCAGTCTCTCCCCTTTCTGAGGGTCATCCCATCCCCAGGGCCAGGAGGAGGTGCAGTCCTGACTCCTGAGGTCCTGTCTCACGTGATGCTCGTCTTGTGAGGTGCACTCGCTCTCCCAGCACCCTCGGGCCACCTCGGCCACCTGCCTGGGGCCACGGGGACCACCGGGATCCCCCTCCTCTCCCCCTGGCTGGGGCCACACTTCCCCCTGGCCATCTCCTGCCCTCCGTGCTCTGCAGAAACCCTTTGCTCTCCGGGCTCTCTCCACTCAACCCGGCCCGCCTCCGGAGCGAGGAGAACACACCGGGCCCGGGCCAAGGTCCCGGTCCCAGCCGGCGGGACGCCCCCGGGGCCGGTGGGGAAGCCCTTCCCGGGGGCGGGGCGGTCGGTCAGCCCCTCCCTGCCCCGCCCCTCCGCCCCTCCGCAGCTTTCTATACGGCGCGGGGCCGCCGTGCCGGAGAGCGGGCATCGCTGCGGGACCGAGCGGAGCGCGGCACTGGCTGGACGCGTGTGCCCGCGGGTCATGGACGGGCGGGCGGTGCTGATCCAAGCGCTGCTGGCGGCAGGTACGCGCTCGCGTGGGGACGGTCCCGGGTGCGGGCAGCGCATCCCAGCGCCGTGCTCGACTGGAGAGTCCCGAACATGTGCGGGGATGGTCTTGAGCAAGGCGGGCATGGCCGGTCCTGGGCGCCGGCAAAGCCGTCCTGGTCCCGGGTGTGGGCAGAAGGGAAGATCGGTCCCTGTCCCGCGTGGGGGGTCCCGGGCAGGGCAGTGTCAGCCCCCACTCCTGACCGCTCTCTCCGCAGTGTGCTCGGCGGCGGCGGGCGGGCTGCGCCGGGACGAGCTGCACAACGAGGTGCTGCACAAGGGCGGCGGCGGCGGCGGGGTGCCGGTCCCGGCCACGGCGCCGCTGCTCGGCGGCAGCCCGGAGAAGGACGGAGGCGGAGCGGCCTCGGGGGACGACTTCAGCGAGCTGCCGAGAGGTACGGACGCGATAAGGGGTCCCAGGGCGGGACGGGCTGGGCTGGGGGCAGTCGGAGCCGGAGAGGTCGCGAAGGTGCCGGGCTGAGCTCGGCTCAGTCCCGCGGATGTTCCGGCAGCAGCTCCGGCTCCGCTTCGGAGGGACTTGCAGTGGTGGGTGGGAGCGGTCCCAGATACCGAGCCCCGGCGGCAGCAGACCCGAGTGGGAGTAGCCTGTGGGGCAGCAGCACGGAGCAGTGCCGCTGCTGCCAGGGGCTGTCCGTGTTCCTTGCAGTCGCCTGCAGGGCGGGTTCCAGGGGGCCCCGGGTCTGAGCTGCTTGGCCAGGAGGAGACGGAGCCCCTCGCGGCGGGGTTGCCGTGTCCGGGGACCCGCGCTGCCCTCCCGGTGGCGGCGCGGGGACCGTCGTGAGTCACCGCCGCCCACGCGCGGCTGCTCCTCATTCCGCGGCAGGGCTCGTCAGCCGGCGGCCTCGCCACGGGGGCGGTGGGGGCACCGCCGCTCTCTGGGGCTCCCGAGCACCCACGCCGGGCTCCTTGCCCCGGGCTGGCACCAGAGAGTGTTCTGGGGTCTCTCATGGGAGTTGGACGGGGGGTTGAGGGGGTGACATGTACCTGTGCCTCGCACACGCGGCGTGCCGAGGGCAGTACCTGGCACCAGGAGCGTGCTCTGCTCCGTACAGCTCACCCTCCCATTTTTCCGTGTTTTTCTTTGCTTTCTGGCTGTGCCAGCAGACTGTAACAAAAAGCCGGCAAAACCGGGCTGAGCCACTCGCGCCGGGGGGACTTAGCCCTCGGAAAACGCAGCAGTGTGTGTCGGCTGGTTGTGGTTGGGAGATAACCCTCAGGGCAGGAGAGGCAGGGAACGGAGCAGCCTCTGCTGTCAGCCTCATCCGGGGCTTCTCCAAGCCGCAAGGTTTCCTGGAGTATCGGTTTTCTCCAGGCGCAGCGTGGAGGATGTCGACATAGCTTTGCTAGGTGTGCAACTGGTGTGTGCCAGCACGAGAGGCGCTGGTTCCGTCAAGCAGTGATTGAGTTGTAACCTGGGCAGGTTACAACTTGCCAGCTTGGACTCTGCTGTACTCTCCTCCTCGAGCAGCCCCAGGCTTAATTCACCGGGGTTAATGAGCACCATAGCTCAGGGGGCCCTAAAAAATCCTCCTTGGAGCAGTGAGTGCTCTCCAGCACCTCGTGAGATCAAGCTGCGGGATGTTGTTTTTTTTTTT